AAATGGCTGCTTTTTAATTTCGTGTTTACATAATTAAAAAAGTTCTTAGGACATGATTTGACTTCATTTTTGACTTTCCGGTTATAGTCCTCATATGCAGAGTTGGTGGCTGTATGTAATTGGTTGCATAAGTTGTGATAGTTTCGCAAATTGGTTTCAGTTTTTTCTTTTTTGTATAGTTTATGAGCTTTCTGTTTTTTATTCCTCAAATTTTTCAGTTGTGGATTGAACCATGCGGGTAGTTTATTGTTTTGTGTTCGTCTTCTTTTTTTTGATGGTACAGTTTCTAAGATTAGGTTTTGTAGAATTAAGTGAAATTTTTCTACTTCAGTATCGACATTTCCTTCAATACTTATTAAATTTTGCCAATTTATTGTACATAGTCTACGTTTGGCTTCTTCGTAATTTGCTTTACGGTATTCCGGCACTTCCTCGTATTCCCAGTCGCTGGAGGAAGAAGAATTGTGTACGAAGATTGAGTATTCAATTGCTGTGTGAAACACTTCATTTTTCCATAAAGGTGATAATGATGTATCCACACAGAAGTCTTCAGTACAATTTGTAAATAAAAGGTCTAAATATGAGTTTTGTTGATTTTTTACATGGTTTATTTGATTAAGACCAAAATAAGATATTTTGTCGAATAATAATTGTAATGCTTCGTCTTCACCTACGACCGGGAGTAAAAATGATTCATTTTCAATGTCTGTAATAAAGTCTGCGTTTGGTTGATTGAAGTCGCCATAAATATGCAGTTTTACTTCTGGTTCCATATTTGACATTATAGTTTCAACAATTTGAAAAAATAGTTCAAAAGACTGCTTGTGGGCATGTTTAGGTGGAAAATACACAGAAGAAAAAATGTGTATTTCACCGGCAATAAGTGCTTTGACCCAGACATTTTCGAATTCCTTGTGCTTATTTGTTATGATTTCTTCAGAAGTAAAGTCAGCATTGATGGCAATGAGCACATGTAGGGTCTACCTCATGTAGAGTGTCGTCATTCGATAACAATAATTCCCTTGCATGGGAATAGTCGTCGTTACTTCCTTTAGTAGAGTGCGTCAGTGCCGTTGAAAATTTGGAGGACTGTAAAATTTGCGAGCGGCCTCCTTAGTTTGCTGCAGTCGTTGTGTGCGTTCACTAAGTAGGAAAGCGCGGTGTGAATTCAGGTCTGCCAAAGCTTCGGTGCGTGGAATTCCGAGTTCTTCGTGAACGTCCAGGAAAATTTCGCGTAAAAGGGCTGTTTCCGTTGGTAGTCCTTCTGCTGCCAGCATTAAAGTTGCACTAGTTTTAGTGATTCCGCGAATACATACTGAAGGTGGCTGCTCGTGCAAGTATGAAAGATAAGTCCGCACAATGTCCATAATTTTGGGGTCCCGCAGCCGTGCCTTCAAAAAGCGTCGGTCGCCAATTGCAGACTGTTCCGTGAGTCTGACTATAGGCGGACGCATTGGATCCAGGATTGGAGGGTGTTCATGTCCGGTTGGCCTTTCGGCGCGATAAGGGTGAATAGTTTCCCCTTTTTCGAAGTTAATGAATTTTAGTCCATTGTCTGTGCTTGGTGGACGAGAAAATTGTATACGTGCAGCAGCCAAAAGCTCTTTGTCCAGAGGTAATGCCGTATGTGCATGTGTGGAGTTAATAAGTGTCGACGTTCTTATTCCATTGCTATGATTGTTGGTATTGCTGTTGTTGTTGTTGTTGTTTATGTTGTTGTTGTTGTTGTTGTTGTTGTTGTTGTTGGTGGGGGTGTTATTATTGCTGTTGTTGTTATTGTTGTAGTTGTTTGTTTTGTTCTTGTTGTTGTACTGATATGAATTTTCCTGGTGATGTTCCTTTCGTTGCTTTCGCCTACGTCTGGCTTTTTCCTTTTCTTTTTCCTGAAGGCGACGGGAACGCTGTTTGGTGTCAAATGCAGCCCAGTCGCGTTTCCATATTTTTTTATTTCCTAGCATTCGCCAGCTGGGGGCTGGTTCGGCACCGACGTTCTGCAGTTCAATTTCTATGTTGTTACATGCAATTGGATTGCCAGTATGTGCTGCTTCAGAAAAGGTTTTTGCCATTTCTTCCATATGTGCTTTTACATCGGAAGCTAGAATAGCATTTGAGTCCGCTAAGTCGTTCTTAATTTCCATAATTAATTGTGGAATTAGGTCAATTGAGTGCACTGTTGCTGTTGTTGTTGATGTGATGGCTTCTACTGCTGCTGTTGCTGCCGAGTTGACCGCCTTTTCTACAGCGATACAGGCGTCTGCTGGAGGTGTGTCCAAAAGTGCTGACAGTTTACTTTTTATTTCAGTGGAACTAGTCTTGCTGCTGCTGGCGAGGTTTGAAATGGCTTGTTTTACGTCGACAAGCATTTTCTCAATGTGGTCGAGCGTTTCGTCATGAGTCGCGCTTAGGCTTTTGAAATTCATGAGGAGTTTGTGGTTTGCTGCCAATGTATGTCCGATGTTTTCCGTGATATTTTGGAAAGACTTGGACAGTTCCTTCATGTTAAGTTCAGCGGTGAACTTTTCCTGACAGTCTTGGCAAAGAGGCAGCATGAAGGTCCGCAAAATTTCTTCATGATTCCGCTGTGCGCCTACGCAAGCTGCGTGGAAAGTCCGATTGCAGGCACCATGGCAGCGCCATAGGAAACGATTGTCATTTTGCACGCAATTCACGATACCGCACTTCATTGCACTCGCGTCGGGTGATAAAAAAAGTAAAAATTTGCTACTTGAAAATGCTAACGCGGGGCTCGCGCACGGGTCAGTTATTAAAAGGTATGAAAAATAAAATAAAGTTTGAATGGTAAAATATATACAAGAACGCTGTGAACGCGCGTCCGAACTCAAAGGTGGTTGGTTTCAAAGCCACTTGTAAAAATACACGCTTCCCGGGACTCAGAAGCAGCCATTGCAGTACAACCCTTATGAAAACGAACCACAAAGGAAATGTGGAACCAGCCTAGACAAAAATCACAGCAGATTTATCCAATTTGAGTATCACTGCTCAGACGTCATGGTTCAGATTCACACTTCAAAAACTTCAGATCTCTATTTGCTTGACTTCTAGTAGTAGAGCCATAGTCTTGATATCCTTAAAAAAAATCACTCAAGCAACACCCAAGTAGAGAAAAAAAATTAGTACAGCAAAAATTAACGTGACGTTCGGTCACAAGCACGGCTTGCTATCTCCTCCATTGATCTCCAAAAAGTTCTTTGGATAATTTGTCAAAGCTTCTCGCTGATCCGGTTAAATTCTGGAGATCTCCAACTGTTCAATAAATTAATTTACATTTCTTAGATTTTCTTTCAAGAAAGAAGGATGATTAGGAAATATTCCAAAATATTCAGTGGATCAAAGTTCTCCATATCGTTTTCTGGATCCTTTCGCAAGACTTCAGGAAAGATGAGGAATTATTCTGAAGATCTCCCTTTGTTCAATAGATAAAATAATGTCTCTGAGATATTCTTGCAAAATAGCAGCATAGTCAGAAATTATTCCAGAAACCTTCAATTTTTCAAAGACCAGCATAAAGTACTTTGGATACGTTATCAAGAAAATGATCAGGTGTTATTCTGACGATCTATAACAGGTTAATAATCCAAACCTTGTTTCTCAGAAAGTTTATCAGGATTGCCGAATCATCAGCAATCTTTTCACAGACTTTTAGCTGATCAAAGACCTGCATAAAGTCCATTGGATATTTTGTGAAGATTTTTGGTTGATCTTGTTTCATTCTGAAAATCTTGAATTATTCATCATATCAAATCATGTCTCCAAGATAGTAAATCTTGCAGTTAATCAGGAAGTATTTCTTAAAACTTCAATGGATCAAAGACCTTCAAAAAGTCCTATGGATATTTTTTCACGACATCAGGATGATCAGGAATTATTCTGAAGATCTCCAATCCTCCAGTTTTTCAAATCTTGTTCCTAATATATTTCTTTCAGAAAGCAGGTTTATAAGGATTTTTTTGCACAGAGTTACTTTTGATCAAAAACCTTTATAAAGTCTTCTAGAAAGGCGTGACATGTTAATCAGACAATATTTCGAAGATCTCTATTGTTCAATAGCTCAGCTAATGATTCAAAATATTCTCTAAGGATCGCAGATTGATTAAAATAATAATAGATCCCAAGTTGTTTTGCAAGTTTTCCCCATCTAAGTACAAGGTTTGTGAAAATTGAGCAATTTTTGAATTTTTGACAATCAAATGAATAGTTTTGTTCCGTTTCCCATTAATTTTCCCATACAAACTATCAAATTCTTCCGCATATCCATACCATAGCCATATTCGTCCAAATTTGGCACACTTGATGTGGACCTCAATACAGATCGAAAAAGTAGTGGGGAGCAGGGGGTTGTTATGTTGACCGTACATTTTTCTGATGACCACCATTTGAAGGCTTTTTTTTTTTAGCGATGACCCATCATTATTCCTTCCAATTCACCTGATGGATTGATGTCTCTTCGTCAAGGCACGACATAAACGGCATATGGACAGGTGCCATTTGTTATCCCAAAGACCGTTCGAGTTTCAATTTCAATTCAAACTCAAACGAATATAATACAGACCAGACCGGCATTTGGGAAACGCGTTTGGCGTCGAACAAATCTGCTACCGATATTCGGTGACTAAAACACCTGGTGCCGATCTTTCAGCATCGTTCTGCATTAGTGGTTCGGTTCGGATGCCATATAACACTAGTAATAAAGCATAGTCTATACTGCCACCAGCTGCCTCTCACCTACTAAAGACAGTTTGTTTACTCGAAAGCCGAAAATCTGGTTGACTATTCCGGCGTGGTCTTGATAGCTTTTCGAATATAACTTTTCCGGTTGTTCAAATAAACTCAGCTGCAAATATTTCACGTGTTTTCGGTTAATTTTAGAGCTGTGGGATCGTAAAAGCTGCCGGCTGCGACTCTTCTTGTTGTTTCAAATTTTCCTCTCATCTATTTAGTGGGTACACTAATGCTAGCCATCGTCTTGTATCTCTTTTCAGCATTAGCTCCAGCATTTCATCACAACAGTCAGCGACTACCTAGGACTAGACGGTCGAACATTTCTTCGCATAAAGTTGTATCGCAAGAAGATTTTTTTTGATGCGGTGGTTAGCTGACGGAGCTTGTTAGTCGATTATAAACGTACAAATACCCCACTGCAGGGCGTGGGATGCGATGTCTTGTTATGTCATTTAACATGTGATTAAAGAAAGTGTGTCATTTTGGAAGACCTTTCCCGTTAAAAAAAGTGTGTCAGTCAGTATATTCAAGCAAGAGAGAATCAAAATGAAGATCAATGCAAAATATGTGTGTGCCCTGTTGGCGATTTTCAGTGTGAAGTACATTAGCTGTGATAGTTTGCCGTGTGATTTCATGGATTCGCTCAACATTACCGATGGAATTCGCGATGCGTTGGGCAACATCATTCACAATAGCATCCTGTACAAACCAAAGTACTACAGGACGATTGATTACGATTACGAAAATTTTTCCACGAAAAAATACGTACAGGAGTACATCCGGGGATGTCCTTGCGCGGTGCGGTTGTGCGTTAGAATGTGCTGCCCCCGGGGAACAATGCTGTTTAACAGAAAATGTGAACCCTTCGATGTCAAAATGGAGGTACTATTGAACACCAGTTTGTACAACGAGCAGCGAAAATTCGAGCTGGTGGATTTGGCGCAGCACAATATGTACGGGTTTCTGTATGGAAAACCCTGTCAGCACGTGTACGAGCTGGACCATCCGGGAGATAAATGGTCATTAGCTAGGGTAAGTACTGATATGGGTTGTTTTTCATTATTGAGATAGCTCAGATATTAAGCAGGAAATTGGTATCCTCTAGAAAATAAATGATATGCATTACACTATAAACGATCCGAATCAAAAAGTGGCAACTCTACGAGAATACCTATCAAGCAGGGAAATAGTAGAGTTTCTATTCCCGGGAACAATTACCTGGGACTCTCAACACAATTGCCGTTTCCTGGGAACGCTAATTTCTTGGGAAACATATAGATAACGTTCGAATCAGCTGAACTTCATTTTCTCCACTGAAATTCATAATTACTGTGTTGCTTGTGATTGATGTTGACGATGACAGCAAAAATACGTCAAATAAACATTTCAACTGACCTCTCAGATGGTTGATCGATATACTACTATTTTTCTGTTTGCTTTCAAGTCACTTAGACGTCGACTACCACATCGAAGGCATATTGAATTCCACACAACGTATTATGGTGGTATGCTTCCAGTGGCTGGGGTGACTGATAGCCATGGTCAATCCGAAACAGGGTGAAAAAAGGCTTCATACCATGCTAACAATTGTTCTACAGTATGTCTCGATTCGTGCTAATAACGGAGATAATCAGATTGCATTGTTTGTGGCCACCCTACTTTTGAACCACCCTAGTGGTAAAACACTTGGCACGAGCCCCTCCGATTTGGAGGAAACTTTCTACATGTCTTCAGTATGGGAGATTATGATTTTTTCACAGATCACGAGATCATTTTGACTCAAGACTAATTTTAGAAAAGGGCGTATGTGTTTTCACACTTGAATTTTTCTAAAAATGTTAACTCTAAAACCGTTTATTGTATCAACATTGTGTCTGAGAAGAAGTTGTAGAGAATAGATTGGACTTTAAAGAAAAACTGTTTTGGCCGGATCTGGCATCGTGCCATTATGCGAAACCGGTGATGGAGTGTTACGAAGCCAACGATATTATTTTTATGCCAAAGGAGACAAATCCGCCAAACTCGCCAGAACTTCGCTCAATAGAAAAATTCTGGGCGATTGTAAAGGGCAAGCTCCGGAAAACAGGGAAGGTCTTCGAAAACGACTGGGATTTTAAGAAAGAGTGGATGAAAGTGTGTAAGAAAGATGGCGCAAGTGTTACACATGATTTGATGGGTAGAGTTAAGTCTACGGTTCGGGAATTTAGCCTAAGAGAGGAGGTTGAATAAACCAACTTTGCCAAAACGTAGCTTATGTGTTTATTTATTCCCTGAAAGTTTCAGCAATATCCAACTTAAAATGATTTATTTTGTGATCATTTTTATCTGTTGCATTTTTCCAGTATACAGGACTGGTAGCGATCACTGCTGTCAAAAATAGTGATTTTAGTGACCGTGTTGATGAAATAAGTGACCAAATAGATGTAAAAATAGTGAATTAGAAGTGACCTAAGAGAAGAAAAGTAGTTGTTCTGATGGCACACCAAATAAATGTTTGATGTTTTAGACTTATTCAATAAATATCTCATAACACCTAGGTACGATATGACCCTTAAAGCGAAAGATTCAATAGAAAGTTTATGACCAAACCCACGGTATTAGTCAGGGTTTCTAATATCTGCAAAAACCTGGAAAACTGGGAAACCTCAGGAAATTTTTATTACTAAGGATATTTTACAGAAAATTTAAAATGCAAGCATTTAATTTTTCTCGTTATTTTAATTCACATTTTGAACATGGATAGAGTGGATTAATCTTCAGTAATAAATAAAAAAACGAGACTTGAAATGTTTTTGTTTTGTTTTTGAACATGCATTTCCTAGAAATTTTAAATATGAACTAGTTCTGGACTTAAAAGCGATAATACTTCAAGAAATTTTCAAGAATCTCGAGTCAAATTTCATGCACAGTTTTAAAAACTTGCGGAATTTTATTAAAATTTCTTAGGACCTCATTTCGAGTTATGGGGAAAAAAATCTTCCAGAAAAACATAAAATGCAATCTGCTTTCAAGGTAGTTCTGGGGAAATTCAGATTTCTTGTGAAGCTTGATAGTTTTGAGTAGAACCCCTGAATTGAATTGAAAGTAAATTTTAATGAAAGCTCTTCTGAAGAGCTTTGAGTGTGTTGGTTTACTTCCTTTAAATTCCGTTATAATTGCTTATCTTTTGACAGATACGCGTATTTCGTCTACTACTTGCCGACTTCATCAGTGCCAAGTACTCAACACCACAGCAATTATAACGGAATTTAAGGGGGTATTCCCGATCTTTTTTTTTTCAAAAAATCAAATTTTTTTTTTCACGTTTTTTTGTACTTTAGACTATATACTTTCATCCCCCCAAGCCGTTTTCCGATCAGCGAATTCGGTGTCCAGGCATAGCTGACTAATGGTAAGAACCCCCAAATGGTTTTAACTAAAGTCAAAACTTTAAACGCGTTTTTCTCAAAACCACATTTTTTTTATCGGGCGAAGATTTTTCTCTGAAACTATAAGAGATATTGACTTGAATCTTTGCGCATTTTGTTCCTTATTAAATTCTTTGGAGCTTCTCCCACTTTAAGTCAAAAATATTAACATTTAACATTGTTTGAAGCACCTTAAAGCTGAAAAAAAGCGGGCTAAAAATCGCCTGTTTTTTCATATGGCCGCCATTTTGTTAATTTGCAAGATTTTTTGCTGCCAACGGGAGAAGCTCCAGAGAATCTTATGCAGATTATTAATTTCATCACGAAATCTGTTTCAGATGAAGCGGTCCAAAGAAAAGTCTTCGCCCGTCCAGGCGTTTGCGGCGAACAGGGGTCTGTTTGCCGCCATTTTGTGACGTCAATAATGTCTTTTTTTGTGTCGAAAAAAATTTATTTGTAAACTTTAATGTTCAATAAACAAGAATCCCAAAGAGTTAGGCGCATTACTATTCATTTCCCTTGAAAAAAATTATTTGAAAAACAGGCCGAAAAAAGGCAAAAGATTGGGAATACCCCCTTAAAGGAAATAAACCAACACACTCAAATCTCTTCATAAAGGGATTCCGTTAAGAGGTTCGACAAATTTAAAGGATTGAAAACTCTTAGTAATATCTGAGGAGCAACTCTTTCAGAGGAAAATTCCAAGGGTCTTCTGAGGATAATTTCATGAAGTTTGTGCGAAAAAACGAATCCGGCATAAGTCCTTGGATTTTTTTTTTTAAAGTACTAAAAGGAGGATTACAATTAAATATGAGAATAACTCCAGAACATCTTCAAAGGAATTCAGAAAATAAATTCAGGAGAGTTTGCCAAACAAATTATGAGAAGAGTTCTAAAGAATTTGTGAGGAGAAATGCCAATGAATTGTTAGGAGACTTTCAGTAGTGGAATTCCAAGGGAAGGAGTGAGATTCAAACAGAAATCTGAAACGAATTCAATGTATATTCGGAGAATCTTTCCAAAGGGTTTCTTATTGTGACGAATTTCAAGATATTTCCGAGGAAAACTAAAAGAAATTTGAATTCGAAGCTTCATCGAAATGTTGAGGTATATTTCAATGCACATCAGAATGGACTATTCTGAGGTCTTTGGAACTACTTGAAGTTCCCAAATTTGTGGTTCCCAAATGAAACTGGTTTGCAGTTCGTTTTTGTTTGAGAAACTAGCCTGATGCTCACAAAACTTATCATTAAATTCCTAAATTTCCCTGAACTTCATAGGACTTCCTAAAGTTTCCTCAATTTTTCTAACAATCATGGATCTCCTTTAAAGGTTCAAAAATTCACTGAAGTTCTCTAAACTTCTTTAAAATGTGACTTCTCTAATGTTAACTGCTCTGAGGTTCTCTGTTCTTTTCTGAAATTCTCAACACTTCTCTAAGGTTTTTGCAGTTCATTAAGTTTGTTGTACTGCGCTGAATTTAATTGAGTAACCTAAAAATGTTTAAGCTTCACTGAGCTTCTAAGCTAATGGGAAGAATTAAATTTTTAGTGTGTCTGAAGTTATCTGAAAATCTGGGAACTGCCTTAAATTTTCACTTATTTTCTGGAACTAATGGAACTGACCTCCACCTGATATTTTCCCAATTTCCGAAGCTAAAAAAACTTCTTTCAAATGCTCCAGCATTTTGCTAATCTTCATACAAATTCCTGAAGTTCGCGGATCTCCTTTTAAGCTCCATAGATTTCTTTGAAGTTCTCGAAACGTTTTTGAAGATCACTGTCCTTCTGTGAAGATTTCAAAGTTTTTTCTAAATTTGTGGAACTTTTGTGCTCCCGCAATTTTCAAGGAATTAGACCGACATAATTAATATAGTTCTATGATTTTCTCTGATGTTCTCAAGATTTTTCTGAAGTTCATGAAACTTCCCGTAAATAATTGTTACTAATTTAAAACTTTTTCAATAGTCTAGACTTTCCTAGTGGTATTAAAACTGCCTAAACCATTATTGAATTTTCTCAAAGTTATCTAGACTGCCCTGAATTTATCAGAATTTTTGTTAAAAACCCACAATTTTACTGAAATTAAAAAAAAAAGTTTTGACAATTTTTCAGAAGTATTATAATAGTTATTACTTATCATTAGTTTTCCCTGAACTTTTCTATGCTCACCTGAAGTTCTCTAAATTTGTTTGAAAATCCTTCAAATTTTCTGATACATATTCATAATTCCCTGACGCTTCTGACGTTTTCGGATCAATCATAGAATTCTTGGAATACCCCATAATTCCACGGAACTACGTAAGTCGCTTCAAATTTGCTTAAGTTAATGGGATTATTCTGAAGCTATCTGATCGTCGTCGAAGTACTCGGAACTTCGCTGAATATTATGAAACCATCTAAATGTATTAGAAATTCTCTGGATTTCCTTGAAGCTTGCTTAAAGTTCTCGCATTTTTTTTAATTAATGGAACTTCGTTGATGTTCTTTAATCAACTAAGCTAAATTTTCGCATATTTAAGTTCTTGAATTCTCCATGATATAACATCCTTTAAATATTCTCACGTTTTCCGGATGTTCATATAATTTTTATCACGTTCCAGAAATTCTTTTGGAGCTTTGCTGA